GTAAGAATGGTTGACCCTACCCGAGAAGATAAATAATTTAGAAAAAAGCTCAGCAATTGCAATGCATGCGCTAACACACAACCACACAATAGTGTGGTGGGAGAGGGTTAAAATTCTAAAAAGTAATCTAGATAGGTGGAGAGAGAGGTTGATTACTGAATCCTTGTTCATCGAGTCTACACCAAGCACATGCAATAGGAATGACTCGTCACTCATACCTGAAATATGGAAAATACTATTACCAATCAAATCAAGTGAAAATCAAGTGAAAAATAATGGAACAATATAAATGAAGTTAGGAAGTCGTGTGATTACCTTGATATGATTATGAGCAATAAATTGTGCTCGAAACGTCAACAGTAAACACTACTGTATAACACTGTGGGACTTTATCAAAACAAAATTTACCCATAATGGAATTACACTGTACCACACTGCACAAGTTTTATTCATATATCAATGTGCCGTAGGAAATTCGACGAATCCTCTTCAAGGTTATAGTAGGTCTCAGGTGAGTGGCTAGTACTAAGTGGTCTGTGTTAAACAAATACAAATACTATTATTACAATGATTATTATTCGTCATAATTTATGCGCTTCATGCAAACATTTCCTGAATACTATCGACTTTTCCATTTATGCGGACTTATTATTAGTGATATTATCTGTTTTCTCAATATATGCCTCCACCTGTTTCATTCAACATATTCGTTATCTCATTATGAACCTCTCATTGCAGTCTTACTATCTCCTGTTTAACACAGACCACTTAGTACTAGCCACTCACCTGAGACCTTCTATAACCTTGAACTGGTTTGTCAATTTTCATACCCCACACTCTACAAATCGATTATGATTAATCACCAACATTGTCTCCCGTTTTACAATATTTTCTCAGTATTTGTCTCAAGTCTGTGTGGAGGTCGACAGTACTCAGCATCATAAATAAGATCCCGATTTTCAACTCCAATTTGAAGTCAGTCAGTGCTAATATACGGATCAGAGACTTGGCCAGCGCGTCATAAAGAGCATCTCAAACAAACTAAAGACCTTCATTAACAGTTGTCTTCGCTCAAAACTACTCAAGATCAGATGGCCGGCCAGAAATGATCAGCAACAGGGATCTCTGGCAATGGGCGAACAAACCAGGAACCGATTGTGAAACAAATGGGCAGAAAGAAATGGAGATGAATTGGCCACACGCTGAGGAAACCATCAAGTGACATCACTAGACAATCCATTGCTCGAGTGGAACTCGAAAGGGAAGGGGGCGGCGAGTTGGTCGTCAGTGCAATGGTGACTTGAAGGAGGAGGAGGTGATGTGAATAGGAGATGAAGGCATGTGAGCAGACTTGGAGCGGAGTGAAAAAGTTGGCAGAAAACAGAAGGCAATGGAGACGCTCAGCTCGAAGACATATGTTCCTCTATGAATTAAAGGAAATAATAATAATTTTTATTCTTATCGGACAAACCTAATGTACACACACACATACAAAAATACGTTTATATTATTGTGACTGTACTGGTAAGTGAATGAATTCACCACCGAAAAGAGACTCTTCGCTGAACTAAGCATTTCGCTCTCAATCACGTTCAAGAAATATCCCGAAGAAAATGAAGATCCAGAAGGAGAAAAGTGTCGGGTAACATTTCGCGCCAGACCATCCTTCGAGAGGAATTCAGATATAGAAACAATGAGTTGGGCGGCATGTATCCGAGAGTGAAATTAAAGAGATCGCATGAGGACCGGATAAGAGATTATGGGCAACTTTCGAGCCAGCTGAAGAGGACAGCAGGGAGTGGGACAAAGTGAAAATGTGCTGTTGAAGCCTTATATTCCACTCGGAACCCTAAAGAACAGTGAATAAAATAATTAAAAATGTGCTATAAGATATGAAAGATTTATACTGCTGACTAAATTGACACAGAAACTTCTTTCGTAAATCCACACTTGCTAAAATGGTTACCCGAACTGATTTATTGTCAAAATAAAAGTAACATTAAAAAGATAAACCTTATAAACTGGTTATTAAGCCAGTTTGAAAGGACATTGTGTTTATGAATCCGGAATTCAAAGGTAATAAAATTTCATATAGGCTGGGACACCTGTTTTTTTTTTAAATCAGTCAGTCAGTAAGACCTTGTTTTTGTAACACAACTACAACTTATCTTCATCAGATGTAAGTTGTTCTCTGTTTGTGTAAAATAGATAAGCTCTGATTGTCAAAGGATGCTTTCCATTCGGATTACAGTGCTCATTCAATGCATGATTTCACAAGGAAGAGAAGAAAATGAATAACAAATTCTATTTTAAGAATATTTGATCGACTTTCACAACTCAACTCAACTAACCCTGACAAACATTACATATTTACATACATTTTATGTTAAGTCAGCTGGATGATATATTCTGAATTTCTTTGGAATTATTAAAATTAATACTCTTATTATTGAAACCATTATCATATTGTCATAGGAGTATAAATCAAACTTCTTCAAACCTCAGAAGAGATAACCATCCACATGTTAAATCCTAAACTTTAAATGCAGAAGAAGTCACTAAATCTAATATACAGTGGATACATAGCTTTTTATTAATCATAATTTTTTTATTGATGTAAGAATAGAACTTGTTCACTGTCGAAGGGTACAATTTCATTGTGGATAAAATTTATTTTGAGAGAGTCTCACAGTATTGCCGGTGGGATTTGGGAGATTGTGGGAGAGGGTTAAAATTCAAAAAGTGATGTAGGTAGATAGATGGATAGAGAGAGAAAGAGGTTCATTACTGAATCTTTCATCATAGAATCTGCCACACCCAACACAAGCAATAGGAATGACTCATCACTCATACAAGATATATGGATTATACCACTACCAATGAAATCAATAGATGAGAAACAGTGGAGTCATATAAACGAAGATGGAAAGTTGTGTGAATAACTTGACATGATTATGATCAGGGATAAATTGTCCTCAAAAGGACATCAGTAAATATTACCGTATAACACTGTGGGAATTTATAAAAATAAACCTACTTTCTTCACTTCTTAGTTGTATTATTTTCCCCTCTGTCTCTCTCTCTTGCCCCCTCCACCCACTATTGTACTTCTGCTCCTTACGACACTGGTCTTAACTTGACTCTTTCAGCTCTAGTTATGATCTGCTCACTCCCGTCCATTGCGTTGCATCACTCAATTTACTTAATTTTATTACAGTTTCTGCCCGATTAACGCTTTCTGTATTGCGTAACTGCTATGTGAAACTTATGATTATAATTACTGTTCTACATTTTATTTTTTCAAAGAACTAAGGGGCTATGACAGATTAATTGTAATAATAATAAGTAATAATAAACTTTCAGTTTTCAGATTGACAAGAGATTCACAAATCGACAACGAAATATATGAAGGATACATAGGTTCACTTTTATCCTACATGTGGTTGTTTTCGATAGAGTTCAGTGATTTTCGTGTATGCATAGTGAGTTGGCCATTTATACATAAAAATAAATTGTGCATCTTTATACTAAAAATAGAAAAAAGGAACAAAGAAAATCTAATATGAAGCCATGGCCAGAAAGGTAATTCAAGGAACAGAGATCACTAGTAGGAAATAAATCTATTGTCCAACAAATATGTACAAGGAAATAGAAATGGATGAACTAGACATGCACCGAGAAGCCCACATAAATGTCACTCAGGCCTTCAAGTGGAACTCAAATTGAAATCGACAGGTTGGGAATGGGTATGAGGGTGGAATGGAACATGTGAGGAGGAAATGATGAAAGCTTATGGGGTCTGGTTCAGGTAGCTAAATAAAGATTGTAGAGGGCGGAGTGAAAAAGGGATGTGCTGTTGAAGCCCTGAATTACACTTAGAAATCAAGGGACAAACAATAATTACATTAAGCAGTGATAAAATAGTATATATATATATATATATATATATATATATATATATATATATATATGGTCTTACTTGTAAGCATGTTCTTGGAGTTGATGGCAGCTCAACCGGAAGCAGGGTAGTCCCACCATAAATAATCATTCCCCAGATAAAATTAATCGCAATTAATAAAGGCGTTGCTAGAGCATATTGATTATAAATAAGTTTCATGGTATTTTTAAATGTTGGTGTTGTATTAGCACAATTTTGCTTTTCTTCAATCCTCAGCATGTTATTTAGAAAACTACATGATTTGTACGGTGAATGGTTGTCATTACTGTGATCATTATTTTCATTATCTGTAATGGTTTCCGATGGAATTCGACCATTGCATTTTGCAATCTCATCCAGAACATTTGCTGCCTCTTCATAATTTCCCCACTGAGCCAATAGTATGGGTGATTCTTGTATGAAATAGGCTAAGCCTAATGCACATAACAACAGGGGAGCTGTCGTAAATAATATAAAAAATCTCCAACTAAGTTTTGCTACAGAACATCCAAGTCCGATACCAGTTACATAGAGAGCAATAAAAGAATCAAAAAAACAAACAAGTAGTTGACCAGTAGCTTGGTAATTTTCTGGTAGCACTTCTGATATCATTGAACAACCGGCTGTTAGTAAGCCCCCAATGTACAGACCTGATATGAAGCGTAAAGTTGCTAACCACGTATATGTTGGTGAAATAGCACACAGCCATGTCATGTGAATAAGCGCAAGACAACAAACAACATTCAAATCTTTACGTCCGAGCCTGTCTGATAAATATCCTATCGGTGGAGAACCTATACATATACCCAAAAATACTAGAGTGGTAAGAAGAGCAACATAATCCGAACTCATATTCCATTCACATCGTAGCGTAGGCCCAAGAATTGCTTGAATTAAAGTTTCCATGGTATCAGTCGCTTGAGCCATACCGATGATTATAATGACACGAACTTGATACCATCCAAAACCTAGTTGATCCAAAATAGCTTGGACTCCAGAAAGTTTAACAGTGCTATCAGACTCCATTGCATGTAATGTGGAGAGGATTCGGAAAGTCACTTTCATGAAGAAAGCAGTCGATTCCTTTTTAACCAATCATCATTCGACGTTTCGCAAGTCAAATCTTCAGAATGTTGGTGAGAAATTCGATACTCCAAAAGTATTCAACTGTTTTCAAAAATTAAAAAAAGTGAATCTAAATTATAAATTGAATGAAGTCACCACTGAGATTCGTCAAATAACTTTGTATTGCATTGGACCATTGGACATCCAAATTACTATTAGTTATTTCAAACAAAACCCTATTTCCCTTCAACTATTTTGCTGAAATATTAACTTTTACCTATTTATTTTGTAGGAAAAATGCAAAGAGACTTTTTAAACCGCATTGTTGTTTGACGACAGTTTGACTGTATTGGTCAGGTGTTCATGGCGCTAAAGTGGTAAGTGCTTCTCGCGCTGCACTAGTTGTTGGGCTTTGTGGTCTCGTGCAAGCTGCGTTCTCCGCTGCACAGCGTAAGTTCCTCGTAGTCCTCAAAACCTTATCAGACCCTTGTAGATCGTTCTTATATCCATTTAACAGGACAGGAATATAGCTCATTACTTATTCATGTGTGTTTTTCTTTAACCTTATATTGCATGATATTACAGATCCTTGTGCAAACAGTTCTTTCTTTCATTGTTGTCTGCATTAGTCTCGTTGGTCTCGCTGGGAATCTAAGGGAGATAGAGGCTGCTGCAGAGTTCAGGGAGAAGTTCCATCAATCGTTTGATATATTTTTAGGACCTGGGATTAACTTGGAAATAGACCTTCCTTTTACATTTTTCATCACCGCAAAGCTCCCTTGTCGACTAATCCCACCCTCTAATTCAGTAATCACAATGTCTACCAATCCTATTGTTCTTACCCTTGGACACACTGAAGCAGTCACAACTTTGCCACTTTCTGATCATCTGCTGGCATCTGGAAATGCGGATAGCAATACTTATTTCTGGTCTCTGGATCAAAGTCCTTGTCCCCATTCGAGATCGGTTCGCCGAGCAGATTGTAAGTCAACCAGCGTCAACATCTTTTCGTGTATGCTACATGTGTCCTTATTAACCGTGTTTCAACCTACAGGATTTCATGATGACAAGAACAGTATCCTGTTCCATGACTCCTCATTTTATAAAGTAGCCTACTGTGTAGACTAAAGTGGGATGAAACTTAGGCATTTCAGCGTGTGTTCTAGGTGTTAATCTCAATATTTCTGGTCGCTTCTTTAAAAGTGAAATCTGTTTATTTTTGGTCTGTCATGTCGGAAAGTAAATAATGAGCTGTAAATCCCAGTTGGCGTCACAATTAAGGCTCTTCATCTCATTCTAGTGTTCCCTTATGAAGTGGTTGTTACGTTGAAGCTCATAATCGTAAATTTGATGATTGTAATACAAGCTCCGGAACACCCGTGCCAGATATACTCTTCACTTGTTTGGAAACACTATATACGCCATGCTAATCCTCTCTACAGCATCAGAGACAGTAGAACGTTGAGAATAACATCAGTGTGTATCGGCACAAAAGTCATACCACTCATCCCGGGATCCATGATCTCCTGCATAACTGTCAAAAGGAAGAAGCTTCTCATTGTCTGCAAAGGTCTTCAGATGTGACTAATTGTAAGTTCTACCACCAACTGGATGATATATTTTAAATGGACTTGGCAATTATTTCAGTGGTAGTTCCTACGTGGATATCTTTGCTCTGAAGAAAGTCGTTTATGTGGTGTAAATAGACTAGTCGGTCTCAGGTCGGAGTCAGTGTATCAGCAGCAGTCCACTTGTCGCCTTATCTTCCGGTGGTTATCACTGTGGCTTGTCAATCAGGCTATAACATGTCGCAATAGTAAACAGCAATCCTTCTTTCTGGAGTAGTTTTCTGAACCCTAACATAAAATCAGTTCATCACGTTTGTAGGTGAAAAAAGCTTAAGAAGTAGAAAATGTGTGACAGAAATTTCGCCCGTCAAGTAGTCAAACTTGCAAAAGGTGATCAAGGTGGCTGCACAAATCTGGACACTTTTCACTTAATGATGATGCTAGGGAAGGTATGTGGTCATACAAAAGCACGGTATTAGTGCATGATGTCATGTATTGTTGGCGTAGACCATGCTTAAAGAGGTTCAGATAGCTTGAATAGGGTCATTTGAATGCTTCGCTTCATCATTCAGTCACGAATGCTACGCATGAACCTAAACAAGATGTTTGTGTGAACAGGAAATAACCGGTTAAGTTGTAAACCTACGAAACCCTGTCTGTACTTTTTAAATGTGTGATCAATATCTATTTCAACCGCCAATGGATGCAAAAGTTAATACTACCATTACTGTTTTGTCCTCTCCACGTATTATTATCATTGCTATTACTCATTCCTTGCTCTTCCAACAAAATATATGGCTTCGGCGGCACATCTCCATTGCACTTGATTCTTTGCCATTACTTCCAACTGGCTCCACAAATCACTATCTTTCTTTTCGCCTTTACATGGTCTTTGTGTCACCCTCAGACTGAAGACTAACTTCACCTTCTATTCTGGTTCCTCTGTAGTGCCTAGTGTGTGATGTCAACTAAAGCTCTGTACCCACAGAGCACCTTAATTTTTATTTGCATGTTTGTAAGGCAATGTATTCTCAACTTGTTTGTTGCTAGAGCCCCTTGTTATCTGTACTTTCCAGCCTTTTGATCTTCAGTATCGAGGCAGCAATGAGAGTTGTTGATGAAAATCTCTAGTATCCTATTGGAGTCTTTTGGTGATACGCTTTCTGTAGCAAATTTTGATCTTCCTTGTACTGGGTAGGTGACGTAGATTTTCAAACTGATTTCGGAGCAGTGACGGTCTGTCTTGCTTTCCTGATCTTGTCTTTGACATCCACTTCTCTACCGCTGCTAGTAGTTGAAACGATGTTTCCCGGGTAAGCAAGTAAGAGATGACTTCCTTTTGATTGCTTTCACTGGTGATGACCAGTGCTTGTTGTTGATCATCTCTATGTTTACATGGAGTCCTGTCTTCTCTGCCTGTCCTGCTAACCTGTTGGTTTTAAATTGTGGATCTTCGAGTTTGTGGCACACGAGACATGAAACATCCACTAGGGACAGATCTGGGGTCTTTCTGTCAGTTCAATGTATTCTGGAGTTCCCACCTCGTGGTTTACCGCGGGGCCCAGTGGGCCAAAAACAGGAAGGTTGTCAGTGACAGTAAGCAGTCTTGTCTCATTTCTGTCTTCAACTCGAAAACCTTATGTTGGTATTCGCGATTACCATACAGTAGTTTAGTGCGGTTTATAAAAGTTCGTGGCGAAACACTCCGTTAATGCGGCAGTTTTCAAATTTAAAGAAGCCTTTTGAAGTTACCAGCTGAATGCTTCTGCTGCTCATTTGCCTAGTACGTCGTAAATTATACTCAGCGGCTGCTTCCGGTATTCGTCTCTGCGCTGGTTCATCATCGTCCTTCTTTGCTCTGTCACCGTCCATTGTGAGTTCTTCCTTGTCCTGTTTCAGATTTCTATATGGCTTTGCGTTCGCACCACTTCTATGGTGTTCCTGTGTTTTTCACACAGGCTAACTCGGTGATGTTGCTGACTGTTTCTGACTTGATCCTGTTGACCACAGTAAAGGTTCTCGTTGTTGCGTTGTCCTTCAGTTGGAGTGTTGGGGATGAATAAGAGCCTTTATCTTGATTTCTTGAAGGCCTTCAGCTTTACTTTGAAGGATCCTCGCACTAAATCATATATGGTCTGGACTCCTATCTGCTCATCTCGACTTTGTTTCTGGCGGACTACATCTCATCTTTCTTGAGATTAAGATGAAGTCCATCTGATTTTTGGTGTGTTCGTTAGGTGAGACCTATGTCACTTTGTGTATATGCATGTGGTTGTGAACGCTGCCTCTAATCACCAAATTATGAAGGTGCCGAAGTCTGTGAACAGTTCACTTCCCTGCTCCCAACCGTCCCACTTTTTCTTGGCTCATTAGCGACTGGTAACTTAGGTGAGATTAAATGTAACTACTGGGTTATATATTTGTGGCTCTAGAGAGTCATATTTATTCATCTCCTGCATAGTTTTGATTTTTTTTACGGAAAGGTTCTAAAACACTAGAAAAATACTATTCGTCTTCCAATAATTAAAGCCATTTGATTTACCTATCATTCATCTTTGAAATGATTTTTTTTCGCCCAGGCCCGGTTGTTTCTTATCCCTACGCCAGTGTCATTCAGTCGGGATCGCCAGCGTCGTAACATATCAGTCAGACGTCCTTGCATCAACTCAGTTTCCTGCTCGATGTCCGGTGACATCGTTGCTGCCTCACTTGATAGCAAGACCATTGAATTGTTTTCCGGTTATGGTAAAAAGTTGATGCATTATGAATCATTGTATGGTCACGATGGTAGAGCATCAACTGTACACTTTATAAATGTATGTTTTCTAATATTTTTGTTTCCCTTGTTGTTACAAAGGTAGTAACGTATGTAGGTGTTTTTCTTAATCTCAATTTATACGGTCTAATGTTTCACGACGCATAAAAACTGCAATGCAGCTATTATAATGCTCGCTTACATCAGAATACTCAACTTACTCCATCTCTGGTGGGTACGTGTTGTCCACCTGTCGATGAGAGGATGTGTGTACTGTCGAGCAGTTTGTTGTGTGTTGCTTTATGACTGTGTATCATGGCTGTTGAGAGTGGAGAAAGTGAAGTGGATAGTTGTCTTCCGCCATAAGCGATTGCATCCTATCTCATACTTCAAGTGCAGGGTTTAATGCTTAAAGCAGAAAATAGTAGTGGCTGTGGGTTAAGAGTGGAACATAGGGCTTCAACAGCACATCTTCATTCTGCCATGCACACTGCTGTTTTTTATCTGGCTCCACGATTGCCCATGAATTTCTATTTCTTCCCCACATGATTACCACTGTATTAACCTCAGAAGTCCAACTTTTCCTTCTCCATTTTAGTTCCACTCAAGGACCTAGTATGTAACGTCACTCAGCGGTGCGCCCAACTTATGTGTATCCAATCAACTTCATATTTGTTAGTTATTTATCCTTTCTGTGACTATATGATCTTCACTATCGAGCGAAGGAGGTAACTGTTAGTGATAGCCTGCAGTGTGTTAGGAATGCCTTCAGTGGTTAACCCATTCTGTTGAACATACAAAAAATTTCGGGTCGCGTTAGTTATCGTGAGTGGCGTTAATCCCTGTACTGATTTCGGAGTGTGAACACCTGTCGTGCATTCACGATCCTAGCTTTGAGATTCTCATGTTGTTGTTGACACGATGCTGCCTAGATAAATAAGAAGTGACTTCCTAAATATGTCTTCTACCAATGGAGACCAATGCCTGTTGTTTGCTGGTTATCAGCAACACTCCTTACCACTTTTTGTTCACTTGAAGTTGTCTCATCACTTCCTGCTCTCTCAACTTGTTGAGTTTCGTCTGTGGATTGTCGAGTTTTGTGACAGTAGACATGACATATCTACAAGGTCCGGGTCTCCCTGAATCCTTTTATCAGTCTGATGTTTCATGTCTCTCAGTGTCTTCTTGTTGACGCGATGTATGCGCGTCTTCTCTCTCTCCTCATGTTCTATTCCATAATCTAATTCACTTCAAACAGGAATATAATCAGTGGTAAAAGGCAGTCTTATTGTATTCCTGTCTTCACTTCCAATACTTTGATGAGCTTTCCTTTGTGAATCATTTGACATGTTGCATCATCATATCTCCATTGCTGTTGAATGAGGCTAATGAAGGTTTGGGTGAAGCAGTTTCCAAATCAATTCATGCTCAACACTGTGTAGGATCTTTCCAAATTCGATGAAGTTAAGGTGGAGAGTTGAGTGATGTGCTCTCTTCCATGCTGATGCTTTTACTGAATTCAGCTTGTTGCGAGTGAGAATTTCTCACTCTGGGCATCTTTTAGTTTCTACACGATGATGCGGTTAAATATTTTTGTAGTTGATAGTAGTATAATTCTGCACCAGTTCAAATCAAAACTTGCTGTCAGTTCATGTAGTGTTTGGCAGTTGGGTTGAGCTAGCCACATAGGAAGATGAAGATTGTATCTCTAAGATTTCCGAACCGAGACTGAAAATTCAACATGGAGCAAGGTCGTTTTTCAAATGGCCTGGATGCATTGTCTCCTTCATATGGTTTACCAGACTTTCTTATACTTGACCCTATGAAATAGGATCACCTGAATCAATAACTCACTATTCGTGTGTAGATTTCTATAATCATCTGATTTAACAATTGAAGAAAGGTGTTCATATGCATCGAATACTCTTCGTGAACACCACCACTACAATTATCTCTTTTTTAAACGTCTCTTAACTCTCTTTTCTTGCTCTGTACGCTACATGGAGGGAGTGTGGCAAATAGAACTTCTGTGCAAAGCTCTATGTTGAAACCAGTCAGTCAGTCGAAACCAACTGAAAACGTTTAGAATTTAGTTGGTGGAATCCAGGATGCACATTTCGCCCTGTTAGGACTCGTCACCTGGATGTGCATGCCCAGACGTCGTCGAAGCATCTGCACAAGAAGCCGACATGTCAACCTGAGGCGGAGCAATTCGGTCCAATCAATCGACGAGAAAATCTAAAATTCAATTGAACAACTGGATAAGTGTACAGGTACAGAAATGGAAAGAAATAACATTATTTTCGGGAATATATAATGTGTATGTATATATGAAATTCTCTTTTATTTTTCAGGAAACATTACTAGTCAGTGGTTCATGTGATGAAAATATTTTTGTATGGAATATTGAGTCAGAAGCTTATGGCCAAGCTACATATCACGGTGAAGAAGTGAGCGCCTTTGAGGGTAGACGGCTTGATCGTCTTATCGTCGCGGATTCCTCTCCTGTAATTAAAGTGAGTTGCACAATATATATAAAAGTGGTTATAGTTTTGCACTTTGTTTGAATTGAACCCCCGTTATACGTCCTAGTTTACTAGTCAAACTTGTTCTTCTGTATATTCATTCACCTCACGTGTAGGCTAATGCATAACAGAGCTGAACTACACCGACTCCTAGCTGAAAGATAGGCAATGGAATGGCTGGGTGTGTTGACCAATTCACTAATTTGGGAAGTTGCATCAGCCTTAATTGATTGCCTGATTGTGGTAATGTAATTACAGTAATGTAAACATTATTGTATAACACTGTGAGACTTTATCAAAAAACATTTACCCGTAATGGATGAGACATGGTCGTTGAAAGTGGAAAAATTGAGTAGGCTTTCTGTATTCGACCAAAGGAAGTTTGTGGGTATAATATAGTGAATAATATTAAAACCAAGGGTTGTAGATTGTTAGGTGAGGACAGTAAATTATTCGATGAAGTTGTATGGGTGAATTGATTAAGATGGTTAGGACACGTGTTACACATACTATTTCAAGCCATCCCTCGACAAGCAGTTTTAGCTAAGATACGATTAGGCTGAAAGAGAGTTAGGGATGTTCAGAACAAAACGTGTCATCAATTCACTATGACTTTGACAGTTGATAAGAGCCATACTGGGAGGCATAAAACTGCCTATTTGTTATCTTCAGGATGCTGAAAAGCAAATTACTGCAGAGTATGGATATATAGTTCAAAATCGTCGTTCTCAGTGGCTCAGACGCACGTATCTACCAAACCCTTAGAGTTTTCCTTGTTATCGTCCCTTCTTCCCCGCATTTCTGCTGATTATAGTTCTTTTGAATCTTCGTTTTCTCTTGTCTCTTCCTCTGTGTGCTACACTTCTGTGCAAAGTTCTGTGTGGTTGTAGACTGAGTGCTTGCTGATGAGAATATGCCTAACAAACACCAATCATCATCGACAGGAGAAACATAGGGAGGGTTGTCTCCGAATCACCTGTAAAGCATTGTTTCAACCACAAGTGACTACACAGATGATGTCAAAGACAACCAGGATCAGGAAAGCGGTACATTTATTCATTAGTCTACGATGTGTGTGGGGATCTTCTGCACTTAATCAGCACAATTGACAAGATCAAAGTTTTGTAGAAAACTAAAGTCAAATTAGTGCCTCTTAAATAATTCAAAGACTTGATGAGTTACATAAGCATATCCACCAGCTTGCTGTAGACCTTCAACAGTGGCTGCTTTCTCTCGAAACTGAAGATCAGATGACCAGAGACGATCGGAAACGAAGACCGGTAATGGACCTGTGATCCAACCATCATATGTGCAGAAGACAATGGAGATGTATGGATCAGCAACCCAAAGTGACTGCAGTGACCAGAGTGAAACGGCGATCCGCCTGAGCTGAAGTCCTGTGTTCCACTCGAAATTCAAGGGGATTATAGTTTGTGTGTGTGTGTGCAATCAGTGGGTGGTTATGGAACTCTCAGTTAATTATAGTCATAGTAGTAGTTTAGATACCTGTACTTTATTATGTCTAAATAGCTTTACGTGATCATTTTATGCGTCTTTTATTGCCTTTTGACTAAATTAGGAATACTCTGCTTGCTTTTGTGGTTATCATTCTTTTTTATTCTCCCCTTTTCATGTTCTCATTTGAATTTTACGAAATTATCATAGCATCTTTTTCTGTGGTTAAATTAGTAGTAGTGGTATTAGTAGTAGTAGGCATGCCTAGTTAGCTAAATCTGATGAAGGTTTTTCTCAGTTATGTATTATAACCCCTTTTTATACATTAAATTATTCTGGAGTGAGTGATTGCATTATGCAGACAAATTGTTCTGATAGTGTTTTGATAATTATCAGTGATAACAACATTAACAGGTAAAATTGGTGCAATGACACAGGGAGTTATTAATAAGGATGCTAAATGACAGTGTATGCATATGAGATCTGTGATTGTGCAAGAGTTCTAGGTAAGAGAGAAACTTGCAACTTGCAAGAGCCTAAATACTTCGTAAATGGTATATCCTTGGCTGTAAGTAAACACAACTTCTAAACTTGAATTTTTTACTTCTCAGACTATTTCATCGTTAGTTTTATGCAACAGGCTTATGTCATACATATGGAACATAAAGCTCAAAGCTTCATATGTTTCAGTAGCAATGATGTGGTTGCTAGTCACACCAAGCCTACCATCGTTTCATGGCCTACTACCGACTTCTGGTAGATGATACTGTGGATTGGGGGAGAGTGTGCGTCTTCTGCTAGAAATCGAAGTGTCATATCCCGTGCTACAGCTGGCGAGCGGTTACCCATTGAACCAGGAACTCTTTTTGAGCACCAAATATGTATATGTATGCATTTTAGAATATCGTTAAGTAATATGTCTGTAAAAGTAACTATTTAATTAAAGAAATGAAACTGCTTTTTTCAAAGAATTATCATATGCCTTTTAAAAAAATATAATTGTGTGTTATGCCTCTAAATTTCCTCTCACTCTTACACTTTGTTGTAGAAAGTAAAAAAAGTGTTTAGAGGTTGACGGATATCTCGTTCAACAACTTCTAATTAATTTATTCTCGCGTACCAAAGACAAAGCAAAAGCCAATAATTGATCGTCCAAACCAAGCGATATATTTAGGAGCCAAAACAAGCCGTTAGACGAACGCTTAGCTAGCTAGTGATCGTGCACGTGACACGACGAGGTACCAAATGGCGGGGATGCTTGACCGGAAGCCTTCAGCTAAACAAGTCGACTTAAACAGTGGTGGTCAGCATCCAATGAGTGATTGCTGTGGTCAATAATTTTGGGGAATTATTTACCGCTACAGCTCACTCCCCCCTAGTGGGGTCGTGAGGACCCTAAGACAGAACCAGCCGGAAGTAAAAAAACTCGATGGTTCCCTTTCGGGTGAAAAAAATCTTCCGAGCGGCTTGGTCTTATGCCTACTGGTTTGTCTGCCTATGCTAATGGGGGGTTTGTACATAGCTTCCTGGTGTTGTTCGTTGGATTCCGTGCTTCGTTTGTTTCCCGTCCAGTGCCCGTCGCACCTGGAAAAGAAAACAAGAACGCTAAGAACCATGTCGAGGAAAATGTACGAAATGACCTTTTTGGTTAAAAAAATTTGTGTAAATTTACTATACAGTAAAATAATGCTAAGTTCAGAACATCGAAAAAAAATACATCTAATTAATTTTTTTGTGTATGTTACATGAACTGTTGAAAAAAATTTTTTTGTGTTCGGTGGTACTGTATATAAAAAAAATTGATACGTCAAAAAAAATAGTCAGTACCACAAACGAATGAGTTGCGTGAATCACACGAATTCGTTAAGTCAAATAAGTGTGCAGATATTCTGGGAACCTTACGGTGCGTCCAGAACGGGTTTTCTTGGGAGGCTCGATAGAAGGTTCGGTAGCTGTCGCTGTGCTAGCGACTTCATCGATGTCTACACGATCTTCTGTTACTTGTGGATTTTGGGGTACGTTCAGCTCTATGCTAATAGGATTACCCTCCAAGTAAGCCGGTTTCAGACGGTCAATGCTGACGGTGTCCTCGCGGCCGTTTTTGTCCAAGACAAAGAATTTATCAGAACGTTTAATTACCTTATAAGGTCCGTCATATGGGGGTTCCAGGGGTCTGCGCACAGAGTCGCGACGAACAAATACATGTGAAGAAGTTTTCAAACACGGATGAACGAAAACATCAATGGACTGTGGACGAAGGGGAGCAGGTTTAACTGAACGCATTGCGTTTGTAAGCCTGCTGACGTATGAAGCGTGATCTACCACTGGTGGGAAGCTCGAGGGAGAAACAAATTCACCAGGCAGTCGCAGTGTCGTGCCATATACTAGCTCGGCGCTAGTACAACCAGCATCGGTTTTCAAGGCGTTTCGTATCCCTAGGAGAACTAACGGGAGGGATTCAGTCCAATGGGTGGTGTTTGCAGCTGACAGACCAGCTTTCAGCTGTCTGTGTAGACGTTCTACCATACCATTAGCTTGAGGATGGTAGGCTGTTGTTCGAAATCGCATGCAACCTATGATTTTAGTCAGGGCAAAGAATAAGCCACTTTCGAATTGCCGCCCGCGATCAGTTGTTATGGAAGATGGGCATCCAAAGTTAGCAATCCATCTTTCTACGAAGACGCGTGCGACTGTTTCAGCAGATACATCCTTGATGGGTACTGCTTCCGGCCATCGTGTGAAGCGATCGATGCAAGTTAAAATATAAGTATATCCATGTGATTCAGGAAGGGGTCCAACCAAATCTATATGGACGTGTTCGAAACGAGCGTCAGGGAGAAGAAAGGTGCCAAGTGGGCTTTTGGTGTGTCTTATCACCTTGCACTTTTGACAAGCTAAGCACGTGTGTGCCCATTCCCTTACTTCTTTATTAATGCCAGGCCAACAAAACCGACTAGTTACGAGCTTGACAGTAGTTCGAATACCTGGGTGAGATAAGCCATGCAACGTATTGAAGACGTTACGGCGATAACTTTTAGGCACGATGGGGCGAGGAGTACTCGTGGAAATGTCACATAGAATAGTATCTCTTCCCATACCTAAGGGTTTCTCAGCTAATTGTAGAGTTGTTTTCGACAACTCATGTTGAAGCTCGGTGTCTTCTTTTTGAAGACGAGCCAGTTTTACAAGGTCTATGCCGTCGATTTGGGTGAAAGAACAAACGCGCGACAAGGCATCTGCCACAGTGTTGTTTACTCCGGATACATGGCGAATATCTGATGTAAACTGTGAGACGTAATCCAGTTGTCGTGATTCCCTGGGTGAATACTTATCTGAAGGTGAGTTCAGAGAGTACGTCAGAGGTTTGTGATCAGTAAAAATTATGAATTCACGACCCTCTACCGAATGTCTAAAATGTCGTATAGCACAGTACATAGCCAGAAGTTCTCTGCCGAATGTGCTGTACTTCGTTTCAGCTAATTGAAGGCGCCTGGAGAAAAAGGCGAGTGGTTGCCACTCTTTGTCAACTAGCTGTTGTAGAACTGCGCCGATTGCAGTGTTTGATGCATCAACCGAGATACTTAACGGTGCCGTTGGATCCTGATACATCAGAAGTGTGGCATTCGCAATAGCTTTTTTAATCTGGGTAAAAGCATTTCGAGCAGACGCGTCAAGTTCTATGGACTTGTTATTCCCTCGAAGGAGGTCTGTCAATGGCTGAATCAAAGAGGCACAGTTGGGAATAAAGCGTCGATAATAACTTACTAAGCCGTTAAAAGTGCGGAGACTTTTCACTGTCTGTGGCTCTGGAAAGTTCAGTATAGCCTCGACCTTAGTAGCCAGTGGGCGAATGCCCTTGCAGTCAATAGTGTGACCCAGAAAGTCGAGTGAGTCAACACCGATTTGACATTTTTGAATATTAATGGTAACACCATGTTGGCGTAACCTGTCAAATGCCAAGTCCAAGTGCCTAAGGTGAGTTTCCTTGTCTGGACTGGCAATGAGGCAGTCGTCTAAGTATGCGTATACAAAGTCGAGACCGCGAAATACTTCGTCAATGAAGCGTTGGAATGTTTGGGCTGCATTCCGGAGACCGAATGGCATACGTAGAAATTCAAAAAGTCCGAAAGGCGTAATGATAGCCGTTTTCGGGATGTCTTCTGTTGCCATCGGGATTTGGTTATACGCTTTAACCAAGTCGATTTTGGAGAATATAGTCGCGCCGGATAAGGTTGCCGTCAAGTCGTGTATATGAGGCAACGGGTAGCAATCAGGGGTTGTTTTGGCATTCACTCGCCGGTAATCACCGGTGGGTCGCCAATCATTGCTATCCTTTTTCGGAACCATATGAAGTGGGGATGCCCATGGGCTATTCGAAGGTCGAATGATGCCAAGGCTAAGCATATGGTCGTGCTTTAGATGTCACAGGTTGTCCTGTGGTAATGATGTGGTGCATAACATTGCTGG